CCATATTACTGAACATGAGTGGCATCAATGTGAACATCTAACTCTCAACAAGAAAGCCAATGGCCATATTTCCCAAAACATCCAAGTTTTCCTTGAGAGCAGTCACTCCCATAGGCTTGACTGGATTCACGGTTGACAGGCAGAATACCAGACACTGCCAGTAAATGTGGGAGGAGTTAGTTTAGTTGTAACACTTAAACAAGACATTAAATATTCAAAGCCAAGAAACAGCTGCAGAGAACAGGAGCTCAGTGCTGGGACAAAATAATAAAAGGCAGATGAAAAGCAGTGGATGAAAACAAACAGCTCAGTGTGAAAAAGGATTATGGCATTTTGTATTCTAGCCAGTTACTTTCACCCAGTGAGTTTTGACATAATGTGAACAAAAATCCACTTTTTTTCTTTCTGTTGCTTTCTTCTGGGCATGGTAGTACTTGTTGTTCTGTTGCATCTGGTGATATTCTATATTTTTCTTCTTGACAACAAACCTGTGTGCAGACACAGACCAATCAATGAACGCCTCCTACTAACAGGTCTCGTGTGTCAAAGCCTGATATGTCAGATTCCTCCATTAAAAACACCTCAGCGAGCCACACTGGCTGATAAAAATCTCCCTGCTGAGACATTTTGCCTACAAAATGATTCCTTAAAGTCTAATTTTCAGAACATTTCCACTGTTTTGATTTTTGAAAATATTAAAGTTTCATTGCCGTTCATTCTAGAGCAACAACTAGGCTTAAAGGTATAGTCAGCGATTCTAAGTCATTACACATTTTGTCATATTCAGCTAAATTTTCCTCAGTTTTCTCTGCCTGGCCTTTCGGTTCATGTGCTCCACAAACCCTAGGCGGCGCTGTGCAGTGCTCACTCTGTAACTGGCAAAAAAAACAAACAAACAAAAAAAAAGGATTGGAGGTGGACCGGCTATTTTCAACCAATCAGCACAAGGCAGCGCTCTTGCTCGTGCACCATATAGTGTGTGTGTCTGTGTGTATGTGGAGGAGGGGGGTTGTTTCAAATTGGTTCAGTAAATTCACAACATTTGTGCAGGTGAAAGGGAGAGATGGCTGAAAAGGTACCAGCGCCACCAGCTCCATGTACAGCAGGCAAAGTCAGAGACCTGTGTAAATGTAGCTATGTGCTAGGTTCAAAAGATGGAGAGAGCTTCGGGATTTTAAAGGGATGAGGATGGACACAGAGGTTGCCCTTTTTCTGATGAACAGGTGGGTAAACTGCTTGCTGAGTGCCACTGAAAATTGTTATGGTCACTATGATGTCGTTCAACCAGGCAGGCTAATCTTTGTACTAATGTCACGTTAGCCTGTTTGCTAAATCAGCTTTTCCTGGGACATTCAGTTAAATTGCTAGTTTGCAGATGCTGTTGCGGTTGTTCTGACTTCAGCTAGAGCAGCTGGAGATTGTTGTGAGAGAATAAAAGTGGAGTCTGTAGCTGGTTCGCCACATTCTGTGCCCCAATCGTTTGTTTTCTGACGCCTCCTTTGGCATGGGCTCTTCCTGCAGTCGGTAGTATCGTTGCCATGGTAATGCACGTTGATGAATTGTGAGGGGGTTACAAGGTCCTAATTGAAACAACTTGTTAAACTGTATGACGAAAATGTAAACATTCTTTTGCTAAAATCGCCGACTATACCTTTAATCTTTAGTGTTTTGAAATGTCGACACCAATTCCTGACACTACTCAGATTTCTACAGGACCAAAACTGGTCAATATGCTGAACCACAGGTGAACCTTTCAAACTAAACTTGCTGCTGCTGCATCAGGTATCGTCACATAACATCAAGAAACCAAAAACTGTCTTTTTTGTTTTATTATGAAATAGTGCTACAATGTACATTGCATGTCCTCTCCTGACTGACTGCTGATGTGGGTGTGTTCTGATTTGTGATGCTAGGAAAGGACGGAGGTGTGACACAGTGTGAAATAATTATCCATCCTGACCAGTGATTTCATCCTATGCTCTGGGTTAAAATCTGGTTCTTCTTAAAAGCTTCTCTAGACAAAAATAGTCAGTTCTTAAGAACATGAATCACCTAATCAGGTGGACAGTTATTTACAGTGCTTGTTATTGTACTGTGCTGTCTGTTGGCATGAATTCTGTGCTCCACTTAACAGACCAACTGAGCCAAAACCATGGAGGAGGGGTGGGGAATAAAATGCTTAAAAAAGGGTAAAGAAAATCATGAAAAGTTAAAAAAGATAAAGTCTATTCAGAAAGGTGTCCCAAGTCCTTACTGACCAGATTCACAAAGTATGTGGAGGTGGGAAAAACCTAGAGGGGTGATGAGTGATGAGGCAGGAGGGCCAATGGCAGGCAGGCAGGAGGAGGGAGAGCCAATCAGAAGGCCTGCTGGGCGGGATTATAGTTGAAGGTTGAGGGAACGTGAGGTCGCTCTTCTAGTTTGTCGTACTCGAGATGAAACTCCTGAAACCGAAAAGACAGGAGGTCAGATTTACTTCTGTTCTTCAGCGCAGTTTGTCTTGATAAAAATGTGTGAGCTCTGATGTCACTGATCAGGAGCTACAGCTTGTGACTTTGACGTCAGATGGCCATTACTTCATATCCCATTCATCTATCTTTTACATTATTGATCAGCTTTTATTGGTTGACAAAAATAAAGACTTCCATCATAGTTCATTTTCAAATGTTGCTTTTTATTTATTCTTAGTCTAATTTTTCATGAAAAATATGTCGTCAGTGAACAGTTCTCACAGAATTAACACGGTTACGATGTTTACACTGGGCTCATCATATTCTGTACAACTGCTCCTGTGTCATTTATTTGAAATGGACAAAATGATCATTTTAAATAGTTCCAAAGACATTTTGTCCATTAAAAAGAGTGAAACTGGAGCTGGGTTTGCCTTTAAACTGTGTGTAGCCTCCAAATAAAGCGACAAGCAATCAATCAATCAATTAGTTTATCAACAGAATTTAATCAGCAACTATTTTGACAAATAATCAGTTGTTTACATTGTTTTTATTGCAAAGATTCTACAAAGTGTATTTGCAGTCTGATTCAAAAAATCCTTCATATAAAGACTGTATTGGCCAGAATTGCTTTTAATGAATAAGATAAACTAAACCATCTTATGTTAAAAGTTCTAATCAATTAAATTCTGATAACATTCACTTAGTGAAAGATTAAAAGAAAAATAAGAAACTCTCCATATGAGCACAGTGAACTGCTTCTTTTAATAAATAAATGTATTCTAATAAATGAACTTTAAGGATGAATACTACACATTCTATTTTAATTTGCCATAATCCCTTAATGCCGATTATTTGAATGAAAAAAAAAAAAAATCAATTATTTTAAGTGTTGCTTGTCACTTCAAACAAAAATCATGTCTCCTTTCCTAACCGGATTGCTTTTTATAAAATCAATGATCACAACTTCCAAAAAATCAGATTTGACAATAACCTGCTGGTGCAGGTTAGGAAGACCCACAGACACAAGGCTTCTGACACAGTTGTGTATTCAGGGAAATGTAAATACATATGTGTTCACCTTGGCCACCTTCCTCCAGTTGAGGCAGTCGAAGAAGTAGTAGGTCCCTCTCTCGTAGGCGTTGGTCTTCAGCGTGGGCTCCATCCCTGGAGCCCGAGTGATCCAAACCCGCTCCTCTTTATGGTACCTCCAGTCCCTGTTAAAGCTGGAACACGACGCACGTACGCACACACACACACACACACACACACACACACACACACACACACAGTTCACTCGTTCACCTGCTCTCACACTGATCCCTTGTAACACCCACAAAAGGAGATGTGTGAACAGATTCATAAACACCAAGCCTTATTTTGACCAGCTGTGTGGCTTTTGTTATCCGAGTTGTTAGCGATGAAGCTAAAGACAATCTTCCAGTAGTGATCCCAACTAGCTTTGTGTTAATTAAGGGCTGCTAATGATCAATTATTCTATGCAATTCAATTCAACATACTTTATTTGTCCCTCAAGGGAAATTCAAGGTAGCGAGCTGCAAACACAAACTTGCCTAAACACATAAAACCAATGCAAAAATACTAACATTAGAAAGAGTTCAAATACTCGAGGATGATAACTGTGGCCATCTCACAGCTGCCCAACAACACCCCACATAACAAAGGCACTTTTTATTTTACAACAAGCAAAAGTCAAACTTCCTGGTGCATTTTTCAGTTCGTCCATATACAAGGCAAACTGACCATTTCTTTTAACAAGGCTGTTCACAGGTCTGATGGTTTCAGGAATAGAACTTCACTTTCTTCCTCTTACATGCAGGTAGTTTAAACGCATGGCACTAGCCTAGAGAAATCAAATGCAAGACGATCCTCTCTGGGACTTTGAGTTCAGTGTTAAACTGTAACAACACCTCACAGTCAGTTCTTGTCCTTTTAACAAAGGGAGTTCAACCAGCACACACGAGAAATGTTAAAATACTTCTGATAAAATAAGAATAAAATGTGAAAGCGGCTGGGATGAGAATCAGCACCTCCAAATCTGAGGCCATGGTTCTCAGTCAGAAAAGGGTGGCTTGTTCCCTTCAGGTTGGTGGAGAGTTCCTGCCTCAAGTGGAGGAGTTCAAGTATCTTGGGGTCTTGTTCACGAGTGAGGGAAGGATGGAACGGGAGATTGACAGGCGGATCGGTGCAGCTTCTGCAGCAATGCGGTCGATGTACCGATCCGTCGTGGGGAAGAAGGAGCTGAGCCATAAGGCGAAGCTCTCGATTTACTGGTCAATCTACGTTCCGACCCTCACCTATGGTCATGAACTTTGGGTCATGACCGAAAGGGCAAGATCCCGGATACAGGCAGCCAAAATGAGCTTCCTCCGCAGGGTGGCCGGGCGCACCCTTAGAGATAGGGTGAGGAGCTCGGTCACCCGGGAGGAACTCAGAGTAGAACCGCTGCTCCTCCACATCGAGAGGAGCCAGCTGAGGTGGCTCGGGCATCTGTTTCGGATGGGCGCCTTCCTAGGGAGGTGTTCCAGGCATGTCCCACCAGGAGGAGGCCCCAGAAAAGACCCAGGACACGCTGGAGGGACTATGTCTCACGACTGGCCTGGGAACGCCTTGGCATTCCCCCGGAGGAGCTGGAGGAAGTGTCTGAAGAGAGGGAAGTCTGGGCATCTTTGCTTAGACTGCTGCCCCCGGTTCCAGATAAGTGGAGGAAAATGGATGGATGGATGGATGGATGGATGTGAAAATTCTCGGATCTACTCCAAAGGAGTAACACAGGCAGTAGAGATGCCGTTGAGCCTTTTTCCACCAGTGTGAATCTGTATTAACCACAGTTCACACAGCGTTTGTACACTTCTGTGTGTTTTACTCCACCAAGGAGGTTATGTTTTTGGCTCGGTGTGTGTGGCTGGCACGATTAGGGTTAAAGGTCAAGGTCACAAAAAATAACAAAACAAAAATCATATCTCCATCAAAAGTTATCAAAATCATTTGAAATTTGACACGCACAAGTAGGGTTGCAATCTCTGTCACCAGACAGAATCAGGATCTGACGGCCATTTAAAGTTAACATCGAAAGCCCCTTTTAATGCATATTTTCTGCCATAACTTGGTTTGTAATGAAGACAGAGCCGACACGTCCAGGTAAGATGCACAGTATAACTGCCTATCATACTCTAAAAGATGATTTGGATCCGATCCGGATCAAGGACTTTAGGACACATTTTGTGTTGTTCTGGATCTAATTTTTAACAATGGACCCATTCGTGTGAGAGAATGTTGTGCCTTAGCGGAGGTACACGCGCTTTTTGAGTGCCCTTGTTTATTTTGTTCATTTAAATTCATTTAAATCTAGAGAAAACCTGGTGCTCCAGTCAAAAGTTCTTTCATTATATAGATCAACTCAAAATAAAAATAAAAACAGTCATCAGAAAATCATTACAGCTTTACAGACGTCATGTTTACAACCTTGTTTTGGAGTCAGTTAGGATGTATACTTTATGCATAGCACAAGTAATTGTTCCAACAGTTGTTTACAAATTGTTTCACTTATAATTCACTCTATCACAGTTTCAGTGAGTGAAGTTTACATACACTCAGTGGACTGGGCCTTTAAACAGCTTGGAAAATTCCAGAAAATGATGTCATGGCTTTAGAACAGGGGTGGCCAATTCCAGTCCTTGAAGGCCGCTGTCCTGCTTGTTTTCCGACTGTCCCTGCCTGACCTGCTCCTGATTACCTGGCTTAGGTGTGTTCAGTCAGTCAGAAGCTGGAAGATACCATCTTAGATGAAAGTGGAGTGAGGAAAGATAAAGTGAATTGGTATCTTCCAGCTCCAAGACGCCATAAAAAGGCCCGCTACAGTTTGCAGCTGCACATGGGGACAAAGATCTGACTTTCTGGACAAATGTCCTCTGGTCTGATGGAACAGAAATTGAACTGTTTGTCCATAATGACCATCGTTATGTCTGAAGGATAAAGGAGGAGGCTCACAAGCTGAAGACCACCATCCCAGCCATGTTGTGGTGGGGCTTTACTGTAGGAGGGACTGGGGCGCATCACTAAATAGATGGCATCATGAGGAAGGAAGATGACGTGGACATACTGAAGCAACATCTAAAGACATCGGCCTGGAAGTTACTGCTCAGTCACAATGGGTCTTCCAGCTGGACAGTGTCCCCAAGCAGACTTCCAACACGGCTTAAGGACTCAAAGTCCAGGTACTGGTGTGGCCATCACAAGGCCCTGACCTCAGTCCAAGAGAAAATTTGTGGGCAGAACTGAAAAACCACGTGCGAGCAAACCAGACCCAGTTTCACCAGTTCTGTCAGAAGGAATGGGCTGAAACTCCAGTAACTTATTGTGAGAAGCCTGTGGAAGGCATCACGAAACATCTGACCCAAGTTAACTAGTTTAAAGACAATGCTACCTAATACTGACCGAGTGTATGTAAACATCTGACCCACTGGGAATGTGATGGAAGAAATAAAAGCTGAAATAAATCTTGTTCTCTATTACTAGTCTGACACTTCACTTTCTTAAAGTAGTGCCACTAACTGACCTGAGATGGGGCAGGTTTATAGGATTAAAATGTCAGGAGTTGTGAAAAACTGAGTTTAAATATATTTGGCTATGGTGCATGGAAACCTCTGTACTACTATTGTCATCTGCACTCATGGCAAATTATACAGGAGACAGGACACCACCCTGCGGTGAGACACAGACTGTTTCAGAAACACTGTCTGAGATCTGGTAGTGAGAAAACCAACTGTCTGATGAGTTGATCTAAATGGAAGCAGAGTTGTTCTACTAGCATTTTAGGTTGCACCGTGTCAAAGACTGACAAGAGGTCAACAAAACATCATCCTGCCTAAGTGCTTGCTCGTTTTACAGAGCTCAGAATAAATGACTCTGTGACACAGTCAAGAACTGCTCTGACTACAAGGAGAGGGACAAACAATGAAGAAGAGATTCTGTTACACTGGGCATTTTAGTTAAGATGTGCATGTACCAGCTGTGTGTGTGTGTGTGTGTGTGTGTGTGTGTGTGTTATTCTTACAGTTCTACTGCAGCCAGGAGTTGTAGTAGGTCTCCTCCATTCATATAGTAGAGATAAAACAGCAGATCTTCACCATACCGAGACAACTTGATAGCTGCTAACTGCAGACATGAAAGGGCAATATGTTAATCAATACAGTGCCTATAAAAAAGTATTTACCACCTTGCATGTTTCACTCTTTTATTTTATAAATCAATCATGGTCAATATAATTTGGCTTTTTTGACCAAATAAAAATGACAAAAAAAACTCTTTAATGTCAAAGTGAAACGGGTTTCTACAAAGTAATGGCAATTAAATAAAAATATGTAATGTGAAATAAGTGACGGTAAAAATATTCACCCCCTTTCAAGTCAGTATTTAGTAGATGCACCTTTGGCTGCAATCACAGCCAAGACCTGTGTGGACAGGTCTCGGTCAGACTTGCACATCTGGACACTGCAATTTTACTCTGTTCTTCTTTGCAAAACTGCTCAAGCTCTGCCAAGTTGCATGGGGATCGGGGGTGAACAGCCCTTTTCAAGTCCAGCCACAAATCCTCTATTGGACTGAGGTCTGGGCTTTGACTCGGCTGCTCCAGAACACTCACCTTGTTGTCTGTAAACCATTTCTGTGCAGCTTTCGCTGTTTGCTTCTGGTCATTGTCTTGCTGGAAAATAAAATCTTCCCCTAAGCCGTACTTATCTTGCAGACTGAATAACATTGTCCTCCAGGATTTTCCTATATTTTGATGCATTCATTTGACCCTCTACCTTTACAAGCCTTCCAGGGCTGGCTGCTGAGAAGCATCCCCACAGCGTGATACTGCAATCACCATGCTACACAGTGGGGATGGTGTGTTTGTGGTGATGTGCAGTGTTTGGTGTCTGCCAAAGTGTCTTGTCTGATTGCCAAAAAGCACCATTTTGGTCTCATCAGACCAAAGAACTTTCTCCCACTTGACCACAGAGTCTCCCAAATGCCTTTTGGTGAACTCTAGTCAAGATTTAATGAGTTTTTTCAACAGTGGCTTTCTCTTTGCCGCTCTCCCATAAAGCTTTGACTGGTGAAGAACCTGGGCAACAGTGGTGTGGTGGTCCTTGGGCAAGACACTGAACTTTCCCGTTGCCCCCGATGGTTATTGCCATTGGTTGAGGTGGCGCTGCAGATGGCTGCCATCGGTTCTGTACCGGAAACAAATTCCTTGTGTGTAACATACTTGGCCAATAAAGGTGATTATCCTTATCCTTGTTGTATGCAGAGTCTCCCCCATCTCAGCTGCTGAAGCATGTAACTCCTTCAGAGTAGTCATAGGTGTCTTGGTCTCCTTCTTGCACAGTCACTGTTTGTGAGGATGACCTGATCTAGGATCTATGGATTTGACTAAACTCCAGGGGATGTTCAGTGCCTTGGAAATTTTTTGGTATCCATCCCTGACTTATACTTTTCAATCACCTTTTCTCTGAGTGTTCCTTTGACTTCATGATGTAATGGTAACCAGGAATACTGATCAACCAGTGACTGGCCCTTCCAGACACAGGTGTCTTTATACAACAATCACCTGAGACACATTCACTGCACTCTGGTGATCCTCATTTCACTAATTGAGAGACTATTAGCACCAATGGGCTGGACCTCTGTTGAATTAGGTCTGTCATTTTAAAGGGGGTGAATATTTATGCAATCACTTATTTCCAATGACATTTTTATTTAAATGACATTACTTTGTAGAAACCTGTTTTCAATTTGACATTAAAGTGATTTTTTGTCATTGTTTTTGGCAAAATAGCCAAACTATATTGACAATGATTGATTTCTAAAATCAATAAAAGGGTAAAACATCCAAGAGGGTGAATACTTTTTATAGCCACTGTATGTTTTAACTGATATTCCAGCCAGCACAATGGGTTTAACCAAGATGCACAGATAGCAAAGCATAAAACGAATTTAACACTGATTCACTTTCATTTGAAATACACACCTTGTCCCTTATGTGGATGTTGGTTAAATACTCTGAGGGGACGTGGAAGTCTGCAGGAGGAGAAAGGAAAAAGAGCTGAACACGCTGCAACACATGCAGGTTACAACCAGCAAATTATCAAACAAGATTAAAAAAGGAAATAAAAAGTTGGCTCAGAAACAGAAGCGTGAAATGTTTAGTGTTAGTGCAGAAACTGAGCAGATTAAAGCTTCTGACTCGGAAGGTTTGGACCCATGTGTTTCTAGGTAACGCACGAGCCGGATACATCACTTATACATTTTTTTAATAACTATTAACAAACCATCACCTATTTACGCATCTGGTACACAAACAGAGCAATGTGATCACACCACCTCCACACATTTTAGAATAAGACTAAAACCTCATACTTCAGGTCAACAGTTCACACTCACCTATGTCCTGCGGTCGACAAGGAGCCGACGCCCAGGGAGATGCAAACTTAGGATAGAGATTCCTAAATAAGAGACAGAAAGAAACCACTTCCATTTACTGAGGCACAGTTTAAACTAGTTATGAAAAATCTGTAATAGCTCGACTGTGTGGAGAGAAGGCATTGGAGAAAACCACGTGTTCCTGCTTCAATTACAGTTAAGACCAGTTTCCACAGCACGTCATCTGCTGCAACTTTCACTTCACTGACTTTCTCATGCACCTAAGGACAAGGTTCGAATCTAATTTTGTAATTGTATCTTAGTTATGCATCTGATCATAGAAGCCTTCACGGTCTACAGCTGAAACAGTTAATCAGCTGATCAACAGAAAAATGACCAGCATCTATTTTCAGTTATTGTTCAAACAAAAATGCCAAATATTCTATAGTTCCAGCCTGTAGTGGTTTTTTTTACACTTCATAGACTAAACATTTACTTAAATAATAGAAAGAAACTGGAAGATTAATTAAAAAATAATTGTTAAAGTTGTTACAGCCCTACTTGCAACAGGAAAAAAAAGAAGCTAATTTATAAGTTTGGATAAATTAATTACATACAGGAAGGTCATGGATGAAACAAACAAACCAAAAAAGTAAATGTCCAGTGATGGGGTTGTTTAAAAGTCATTTAACATTAAATGACAGGAAATTTTAACAGTGAAAACTACTGGATGTGGGGGGTAGAATGAAAGTAATCCCCTGGAAATAAGGATTGTGCTTCTGTTGCCAGTCTACACATATCAGCAGGGTCTACCATCAACAGGTTGGGTCTGACCCTGAGATCTGTGAGTACGGAGTCAATATGTGTTTGAAAAACTGAATCTGGACTCTGTTTCAAACCTCTGCACATGTGTACTCAACTTTGAACCTTAGTTATAACTGAAGTCAAGTGAGAAAAACCTTCAAACCTGCTCCGTTTCAACCTCTTACAAATTCATACATTCACGCAGAAATGTCATTCAAACTTTAAAACTTCTCATGTTCATTCATATTGTTCAACTCATTCATACTTTTTACACCATCACAGTTTACATTTCATGCATTTTTCTGAGCTTTGTATTGGTGTCTGTGGCACAGAATGCAGAGTTAGTGTGCGAGAAGCTGGAAAACTCGTCTGAAACGTTTCAACTTTCAATCTACAGCCATAGTTATTTCATCAGTTGTAGAGAAATTTGTGCCAATTTAAAAAAATGTGACTCTAAGCAAACAGACAAAGGCACGAAGCTTCTGGGACACAGCTTCTGTCCCAGATTTCTGCACAGGTGTGTGTCTGTGTGTGTGTGGTTGTGTCCATCGTACTCGGGTGAGTTGAGGTTGAGCCCGAGTGTGGTGAGGTCAGAACCCAGTGCCAAGTGGACCATGCCAGGGTCCGTCTCTGCCGCCCGGATAAACGTCAACAAGCCGATCATGCCAAACTGGTCTGTTACCATGCCGACCGGGATGTTGGTCACACGCCCTTGGACACAAAGCCAAAATGCATGAGGGCGGGTTAGGCATAAAGGTTATCTCTTGTTTTTTTCCCCACAGTGTGTGTCTGTGTGTTTCTCACCGTCAGGGAGCACCTGGATCCCCTTCTTCTGCTGGTTGTTGTTGCTGGGTGCGGAGCTCTTATCGCCAGGGAACTTTGGGCCATCCGAGTTAGAGGTGGTCTTTCCTGATGAGCTCAGATTCTGATTGGGCATAAGGGGATGGAAAAACAGTCCCAAAACAAGTGGGACAAGTGAGGACACGATTGGACAGCATAGAAATAAACTGTTAAGAAAATAGGATGCGAGAGATCTGAGAGGAAAGGACAGAGAAAAATAAACAATAGAACAAAGGTGGGCAGAACAGGAAAGGAAAGGCAAAGGCAAAAACACCAAAGTCACAGAAAAAGGTCAATCTAACCGTTTTGCTGTCTTCATTGGTGCTGGTGGGGTCTTTTGTTTGGTAGTTTGGCCCAGGTAGAGCTGGGAAATCTTCGTTATGGATGGAGAAGTCCTGCGATTGCTCACTGGACGGCTTGGTTACCATGCCAACTGGAGAGCCGTCATAAATGCACAGATTTTAATGTAATACAAAAATCACATCAAGACTGTCAAAAATAAATCATTACCCACATAATAAAAGAAAAACCCTGCACACACACATCAGGGTGCCTTCCAGGTTCCAGGAGAAACCTAAAACCTTTAGGGCCTCAATTAATGAATATTTCCATTATCAGAGGATCTGCTAATGGTTTTCTATCTGAACCAATTAATAATTTATGTTATAATTGTTAGGGTGATTTTCATTTTTAGATAGAAATGAATATAATTAGTTAGGGTTTTTATTATATAGCATACATAAGTCTATATACTTTAATCTCACAGTTGTGTTTATGTTTATTTAGTTACATATCTATATATCACCCTATGTGTTCACTGAATCACTGGTCAGTATTTACTGTGTTAGCCAACTGGAGCACTGTTTAACAT